ATCTGTCACAGATGTCAGTGACAAATGTAACTCCTTAGCTTTTCTGTATCATACATTGAACAAAGGCAGAACATATGAAAACATCCAATGTAAGTCATCCCTAATGCCAAGACAATGGTCAGAGGAGATACTTGCCATTTTGGCAAATAAGTGGCACATAAATTTAAACTGCTCTGGAAAATTGGAGATATATCCAGAACAACATCCAGTTTAGCACAAGGAGCTGCAGTCAGGAGTAATGATGATAAGTAAGAGTCCTTAGCTAATTCTTCCTTATCCAGAAGCATACACTGTTAAATCAACTGCAGATCTAAAGAAGCCAAGAACTCTCATAGAACTGACAACCTATACATCCCTGACAAAATGTTCATGATGTTATATATTTATCAACCTCATACCTTTGCTTTATTAGCCTCCCGTTTTGCCTCTCCTGCCAAACTTCCCACCATAGCATCAATCTGTTGTTTACTACGAGGCATTCCATCAAAGATATCAATGTAAAGATGTTCCTGAACAATATTCCAGATCTGATTGTTCTGTTTTTCCTGAAGGTGTCTCTTCAATAGCTGATAAGAATCACGGGAAATTCGCAGCACAAACTTGCTCGTTCGAAAATCGAGCATTGTCTCATTCCCTCTCATGTGCTCTTTTTTGGTTAAACTTGATAGTACACGCAAGTCATCTTGATAATAACACTCCTGATCCCCATGAAACCTAGAAAAAGGTTAGAATCACACAAAAGATGTGTAGGGGGACAACTGTCTGAACAACTTAATTTCTGTGATCTTCAGCATTTTTTATTTTTCTATATTCACACGTGACATCTATGTACTATCACCATCTTATATTTAATGTATCTAAAAATTATGTTTTATCAATAGTTATGTTAAAAAATTCATTTCAATTGAATTTTTCACTCCCATAACTGCTTTTATCTCGTAATTTCTTTCATTATCTAAGGGTGAGATCCAGCATAGTGCAAGTGGGTGTCCACTTGCACAACAGAGCTTCTTCCTCGTCTACATCTGCCTGTCTCCCCCCACTCACTCCAAAATCTGCTCCGGAGGCTGAGGAGAAGAAAAACTAAGTCCTGTTGCACAAGCAAGTGGAAATCATTCTACGTCACCCTTAATGTCCCAGATCTTTCTCAATCAATTGCTGGTGCAGTCAGTCTAGCAGAACATCTTGAAATAGCAGTAATTTAATAAACTACTTGACTTTCAAGGTGAACCATTACTACATAGTTCATTACACCAGAAGAAAGCCACAATTCTAAAGCACAGAAGCACAGGTGCTGTGAGAAATAGCTAGCTTTTACAAGCAGCAACCTTTTGTATTAGCTCATAAAACCAGAATGGACAAGGCTGGTAAAAACATTTCAGATTCCTAAGGAACCACATAAATGTTTAGGAATTCAAGTACCAAATACCTAGGATTTTCCAGCCTTGGGCACAGGTAATTTTCCTCTGAAGAGGCCATGTATATATTCGCTTGCTGCCCATAACAAGAAACAATGCAGAGTATTTCATTGGTTCAACTCCCTTAAGTCATTGAAATGAGCAATGTTATCAAATGGTTCAGGCCTAGAAGTTTCAGAACTTTACAGACATCACTAGAACTGGCATTTAACCTCATAATTAAACAAATTAGCACACACATAAACAAAAGCTGCCTCATAAGAATAATAATTAGTCATTGGAATGCAATAATCTATGTAATAACTGGGAATGTCTTAAGTCATGTTATACGGCATCTATAAATATCCTCCTAAAATATTGCATATATTTTGTGGTTGCAGGCATCCAGTAGCCCACACTTGCAGGAAAGACCTAACTGCCAGGAGAGGGGCTTAAAAATCTTTCAGCATCTCGGGATTATTTTGTTCCTCCTCTGGATGCCTGCCTTAGCGTAAATGTTACAGACTCTATTTCCAGTTCACACACTTTAACTGTGAACATCTGCAACCAACAAATTTATAGATTTATCTAGCTAATAGTGAGAACATGAAAATGGAGACTAAATGAACAAAATGATATTACTTTTCAAAGAAGGACTTTGCTTCATTTTCATGCCCATTGTAGACTAGCTCCAAGTACATATGTACAAAGAGAGGATAAAAAAGCTGTGATAACTCAGCCCGATGACAGTCCAGAGCACATTCAATGAAGTGTTTCAGTCCACTGTAGTACTCTTCATAAAGTGCTGGGTCTCCTTGCTGATTGTAAGCAGACAGTACTGCACTTACATCTGGCTGATCTTCCACAAAGACTCCAACTGCAAGGCATTAACATATAAAGGGTAAATCAATGTTTGCACTCTGTGTAACTATTTCAGTTCTAAACTGTGTAAGCTTCTTGAGACAAGAACCTCTTTCCCCTTTATACTGCTGCATAAATTGTCATGTACAGCAACAGTGCTACTTTTATCACTTTTAATAAGTAATGACACGGAGCAAATGACTAAGAAACATGCTGCAACCAATTTCTTTTCAACTAAATGTTTACATGAAAAATTGACATCATTCAATCATGCCCTAACCTCAATTGTACTATTACAATCCAGAATCAAATATCATTCATAAGCAGGTTATGCAGTCAGTATAGCCCCTTAACTACAACTCCTATCATCCCATGCCATTGGTCATGCTAGTTAAGGCTGATGGGAGTTCTGCTCTACAGAATATTCTATTAGTGGCGTCAATTCCTCCTATTATACTACTTCCCAAAATGTAGTTATAAAAGGTGATAACTAAGTCTCTCACCTAGTTATTTTGAAACTGAAGCTGTAGCCTACACTTTGTATTCCTTCTGTATTATGTGTGGTTTTAAATCTAGTTTTATTGTATACTTTAACTTTGATTACTTGGGAGAATAAAAATATAAACAACAGCTTGGTTTTAAATCTAGTTTTATTGTAGACTTTAACTTTGATTGCTTGGGAGAATAAAAATATAAACAACAGCTTTATAGGTGTGCCCCAAAAGAGCAAGCCGATTAACAAAAACAAATGTTAACGTATACAGTAATATGTCGTTGTTGTTTAGTTGTTTAGTCGTGTCTGACTCTTCATGACCCCATGGACCAGAGAACGCCAGGCACTCCTGTCTTCCGCTGCCTCCCGCACAGTAATATGTACTCCAAGATTATTATTATTATTATTATTATTATTATTATTATTATTATTATTTATACCCTGCCCATCTGGATGGGTTTCCCCAGCCCCTATGAACGGCTTCCAACAAAATATTAAAATACAATAGTCTGTCAAACATTAAAAGCTTCCCTAAACAGATAAATTGGTCATTACCATTCGCGGAACGAATCCTGTGCAATAGCACTAGGTGACCACAACGTAGAACAGCATACGAATTTAAAAACTGGATTTTGACCTCAGCTGTCACAAAGCAGCCAGTGCAAATAGGAAAGGTCCCTCCTGCGAGCGACCCCCTCGCTCACCTTTCCCAGGTGGCCCCAAGGCCACTGCGGGAGGCGCCGCGGCAGCGCCCGGAGAGATGGTGGCCCCGCTCTGGCCAAAGGTGACCGAGCTGAGCAGCACATCCCCAGAGCCGGGGGCGCCGCCGCCGGGCTCCTGCCCTTCCCCGCCATGGGACGCCTGGACTCCGGGCGCCGAGGAGCCGGGATCCGCCGCGACCTCGTCGGCGAGCAGCCGGGCCTCCCTGCGGAGGATCTCCTCGGACTCGCGGAGGTTGCTGCGCCTCAGGAACTGCAGCACAGCCAGCAGCGTCTGCCGGTCGGTGGGCAGCTGCGAAGCGGGCGGCGCAGGGCTGGGCGCCACCGGCGGCTTCGCGTCGGCTCCTGCCGCCAACGGCTCGCCCCCTTCCGCTAGAGGAGCGGCGACCGAGGGGGCAGAGGGAGCGGCAGCGACTCCCGCTACCGCCGTCGCTCCCGCTGCTGCTGCCGGCGACTGAGGGAGAGCGGGAGGAGGAGGGGGTGGCGCCGGCGGTGCTCCCGCGTCGGGGTCCGGCTTCACTGTGACTGCTTCGGCCGGCTCCTCCGGCAGAGCCGCCATAATGGAATCCGACAGCCTCGCCTCCAACTCAGGCAGCCCGCGGCTTTGCGACAGTGAGGGCACGGTCTCCAAGCCGTGAGGCCAAGGGCTGCTAGCGACAATTAGGGCGGCGCTTTACGGCGCTTCCTGTTCCACTGGAGGGAAATAATTTCAAATAGAATACATACAGTACTGTAAAATAAAAGGAGAACTAGCTAGCGCAAGTAAATGCTCCCGATGATTCTGCGACCGCTTACAAGTTTGTGAAATGAGAAATTATGGGTGCGGCTTGCACAGAGGGGTCGATTCTCCAGTTGTATATATCCTATGACAAATATAACAGGTGAAAAGTGTATCGTATACCACATTTTAAGTTGTCAGTGAACTCATCAGTAAGCAGGATTCTGAGATGTCTTTGAGAGAGTTCTGTGAAACTCGAATGGTAGTATATTTCTGTCTTCTGCACCCTCACACACTTAAAAGCTAATTCTAAACAACGTGTTGGCTATTTTTTTAATTATTTAGCTGAACCTCGGGATATTATATAATCCCCTTCTGTAAATTGTTTAGATTTTTCGTAGTGAGTGACCAAAAAGTCAAATAGGTAATAATAATGTTGTTGTACAAGCACTAAATACTGACCCTTTCACTGGCATCAGAATGATTTCACTATGCACCTATTTCAATTTTCTAATCAAAACTGCTATTAAGCAACCAGCGTTAAGTTTATGAAAACCATTTTATGTATTTTATAATAGGAATCAAAATTCAGTTTTAAGACCAAGTTCTGCTGTATTGATGTCGTTGTTATATATTTATTTGTACCCCGCCTTTTCCCGTAACTGGAACTCAAGGCGGCTTACAGGTAAAAAAAACCACCTTGAGTCCTGGCTCACCTTTGCGAGAGAGAGAAAAAAAACTCAGTTTCCCAGAGTACATAGGGGTTGTATGTGAACGAGGCAGATGCCCTAGAAGCGTGCGCGCCAATAGAGCTTTGCGCACGCGCTTTGAATCTGTAGCACGTTTAGGGAAGGATCATAGAGCTAGGAAAGAAAGGACAGGAATAGTTCCTTTGGGTGTGAACTGCGTTCGCCCTCGCCGCCCCCCAGGCACTTCCTCGGTTGCTCCTTGTCGGTCGAAGCGGCCCGTGCATTTGTTTCCCTCAAAGCCGCGGCGATGAGCGAAGAGGCGGAGGCGGCGGCCGGTGAGGGGCTGGCCGAGGGAGAGCAGGAGGACGTCGACGATGAAGAAGCGATAGCGGGTCTGGAAGCCCCGGGCTGCTCCGGGGAAAACTCCCGCTTCGAAGCGGGAAGCCGCTCAGAGTCCAGCAACGAAGAGATGGAGGAGGACGAGGAGGAAGAGGAAGAAGAGGTGGAGGAAGCAGCAGCAGCAGCTCTAGGAGGGGGGTCCACGGACCCCTTCGGGGGCTTTGGGATGGAGGAAGGCGAAGATGAGGATGAGGTAAAACAAGAGGCAGTGCGCTTAAGGGGGAGCACAGGGGCACCCTTGGGTGAAGCAGACACCATGGGGTGAGATTCCGTCGGACTAGGATGGAGAAGAAGCAGGTTGAAATCCTCCCTCCTCTGGGAAGCTCGTTGCGTGGCCTTGGATCGATCACCATCTATCAGCCCTAGCCTACCTCACAGGCTTGTTGTGAAGATGGAAGTGGGAGCAGGCAACACATATACTTTTTCCTGGAACTTACTGATGAAAGGATGGGGATATAAATATGTAAACAGCGCTTCCTATGATGCCTTGTGCCAAATATAGCCAATGTGGTGCAGTGGCTAGAGAGCTGGGTAGGGATTTCAGATTCAGATCCTTGCTCAGCTTTGGCTTTCCTTGGATACCTCTTGGGCTTCTTCCTCTTACCTAATCTTCCCTGTGAGTTCCTTGGGAACGGTGGGATCAGGAACATAGGAAGCTTCCTTATACCAAGTCAGACCATTGTACATTTAGCTCAATATTGTGTACACTGACGGGCAGCAACTCTTCAGAGTTTTGAGCAATGGTCTCCCAAAGCCCTACCTAGAGATGTCGAGGATTGAACTGTGATTTTCTGCATGCAAAGCAGATGACCTACCACAGAGTTTATGGCCCTTTCCTATATACGTTTTGCTTGCTCTGTGTTTTCTCACAATGTGACATCTTTTGTGTGTCCCCAGTGAAATATTCCTCACCATCCCCCATGGCTAGAGACAGTCATGTTTCTGAATACAGTACCAGTTGCTGGAAACTGCAGGAAGGGAGAATGTTCTGATGCTCAGGTTCTGCTTGCAGGTTTCCCATGAGCATCTGGTGGCCATAACAGGATACTGGACAAGATGAGCCATTGGCCTGTTCCAGGAAGCTCTTCTTATGCTCTTAATTTTATTTATTCTATATGTTTACATATGCTTTCACTTAAATGGTCCCCAAAGCAATTCACAACAAAATTAAAAAGACCGTGTTCAGGAAAATCCCCACTTCACTTCTAATATTGTGCTTTAATCAAACAATAAACAATATACATCTTTGTATTGGTAACAAGCAAAACTTTTAAAATTGCTATTTCCCTCCTTTTTTCACGTTTGCAGCGCATGATTAACCTCTCTGAGCTGACACCATATATCATGTGTTCTATCTGCAAAGGGTACTTCATAGATGCCACAACCATCACAGAGTGCCTTCATACATGTAAGTACTAATATTAATTTCTTACTCAACAGAAGCTTTGATGTTATCTATGCAGAAATATCAAGCCTAAGTACATTTTGGTGATAATGTAAAACAATGTTGTATTAATTGTGGTAACTGCATGGTGGTGGATGCCTTTAAGAGGGCTCCTGGAAATTCTAAACAATCCAGCTACAGTATGTCTTGGATTATACTACCCCCACCCCAAAATTCTCCATGATCATGTTCTGAAATAAATTAAAATGAATCATTCCTTTATTTGCCTTTCATATTCAGCTTCCTGAATAGATCTTAGCACATTTTCTTCTACTTAAATAGCTACCATTACCTCAGCTTCTGCTGCTCCTTAACCGAATTGTCATGGCTAGGCTGTAGATGACCATATGCAGATGCAGATCTGGAGTGGGTTCTGTAATCCAAAATCCCTAGAGTCACTGGGTGACAGCTGAAGCCTGAGGTACCGCACACAGATGTTACTGCTGTGCAGACCAAGAAATAGTAGTTTTCCTTGTATTTATTCCATACTTGCCCAGCCCAGAGTCTTCATATTGCCTGCTGGTTAGGAACCTAAGAAGTTGCCTTTAATCGGGGCAGAGTATTTGTTTATCTACTCTGCCTGACAGCAGCTTTCTAAGTTCTGGTAGAGGTGTTTCACATTCTCTGGTATATGAGCCTGAACACACACACAATATAGATGCACAAGATTGAACCCAGGGCTTTCTGCATGAAAGCACATGTTCTACCTCAAAGTAGCTTGCTTTAGGTGCAGCTGATGCACCTGGTTCCTCCCTTTCGGTTCTGTGAGATGATCTGCATTTTGACAGTGAAAGGAATAAGGAGTGCCCAGCCAGGCAACAGACCATTCCGTTTGCAGCAGCTGGAAAAGTAAGAAGGGATAAAAGACAGTGGGAGTTGCAATAATTTGAGGGGGAGGGTTATATACCACCTCAAAGTAGCATTGGGAGTTGGAGCAGTTAGAACAGGCATAGGCAAACTCAGTCCTGTTTTGGGACTACAACTCCCATCATCCCTAGCTAACAGGATCAGTGGTCAGGGATGATGGGAATTGTAGTCCCAAAACATCTGGAGGGCCGAGTTTGCCTATGCCTGACCTAGAATCAGCCTTAATAAAAATTGTATTATTTTATGTAAACATGTTGTGGATCCGTCAGTATGAAAAGGGAGAGACTGATATCAAGTAAATACATATTGTGTACCCCTATTCAAGGCTTATTCTTAATAATTTTTTTCAGTAAGATTTTAGTAAGCCTTAGAAATTTTGTATCGAAAAGTAGGGCAGAAATCTATTGAAAAACTTATGCAAAGTTTTTATCCTCCACACACACACACACACATTTTATTTCTACAGTTGCGCCGCATTTTAGGTGACACATGCTATATATTCTGTATTATCTTTGGAACTTGTGGAACATTATAGGCCTGTAACTGCAAAATTTATCTTCTACAGTCTGTAAAAGCTGCATAGTAAGACATTTTTACTACAGTAACAGATGCCCAAAATGCAACATTGTAGTACATCAGACGCAACCCCTTTATAATATCAGGTAATGTATTTTAATTATAATTGTTTATCTATATTTTGTGTGTGTGTATGTAAAAGAAGCAATGGTTTTCAGATAACACTGATATTTCTATTTTGGACTAAAATATATTATTGGAACTTGAAAAATACTTATAACTTGCTATATGCACTGGAGGGAAATGTTGCTGTCTCATAAAAGGTCTAGCACCTCACACAATTCTTAATTCCCTTTATTGTTTACCAACAAAAGTTTTGCATATCCAAAAGATTTGCCTCCCTGGTCTTGATTTGCCTTTCCTCTGATGCGCCAGTGCATTGCTTCAAAGATGGTTGTAAAGTTGCTTTTGTAACTGAGATATGTTGGCTTGAACCTCAAATCTTTCCCAAAATAGGGGAACCTGCAAATCTAGGTATGCCATTGAAAATAGCTTCTAGTTTCTCTCCTGTGGCTCTTCTTCAACAGTTCACTACCACAACCCATATTCAATCACTAATTTAATTAATCTTTTTATTCTACTTCCGCAGGCTGGATCGACAGTTGCAAGACATAGTGTATAAATTAGTTGTCAGCTTGGAAGAAAGTAAGTCTTTTATTTTGAGCCTAGTGCTATTTATAAAAATTAAAGATAAGATTCACCAGAGAATGTGTTAGCTGCGAATTAGAGAATTCCTAAATTGCCTTGGTTCTTGATATAAGGGCTGTGTCTGTTTTCTGTGACTGCAGAAGAATGAACCCCGTCATGTAGTTTGTCACACAACCATCTGAGATCCTCAGCTTTCATTTTATAAGGTTTGTAGGCATTTTGGTTGTAGAGAAGAGCTTTAAATATTGTGAACAGTGGCTGGGCAAAGGAGTCTGATTCTAGAGCCTAGGGCTTGCCAATCAGAAGGTCGGCGTTTCGAATCCCCACGACGGGGTGAGCTCCTGTTGCTCATTCCCTGCTCCTGCCAACCTAGCAGTTCGAAAGCACATCAAACTGCAAGTAGATAAATAGGCACCGCTCCGGTGGGAAGGTAAAAGGCATTTCCGTGCACTGCTCTGGTTCGCCAGAAGAGGCTTCGTCATGCTGGCCACATGACCCGGAAGCTGTACACTGACTCCCTCGGCCAGTAAAGCGAGATGAGCGCCACAACCCCAGAGTCGTCCGCGACTAGACCTAACGGTCAGGGTCCCTTTACCTTTACCTTATATATCTTAACTGCTTCTGTTTTAAGACTTTTTCTCTCTTTTTGCTGACTTAAGAATCTTTAGATGACACAATACTATAAATGTATGAAAATCCTTCTGAATGATAATGATGGTTTCTTTAGTTTGCATGCTTTGTATCTCTAACCAACTAGTTTGAGAAAATATATCTATACTGGGGTTGGTGGAACCTGTGCTCTCCAGCTGTTGTTGAACTACAACTCCCATCATCCCTGATAGTTCGCCTTCCTGGCTGGAGCTGGAGGGGGTTGGAGCCCAATAACATACTGAGAGCCATAGATTCTAAACACATCTATGCATTGTATTTTCTATGTGGAGCAAACCCAAATATTTTGTATTGCATTTTTTAGGAGAGAAAAAGCAAATGCATGATTTCTACCGAGAGAGAGGTTTGGAAATACCTAAGCCTGGTAAGTTTTTATAACAACTATAGTAGCAGCATTGCTATTTAAAAATATGTATGTAAGAATTGTCATGCCGCTTTATTCCAGTGGATCAGGTAGCTCAGCTTTCTAACCACAGACTATGGTCAGGCTGATGCTAGGGGATGTCCCATGGGTATAATCATGAAACGTGTTCCAAGTTGGACTGTGTAATTCGTACAGTTTTTAGAAGGATGACAGATGATTGACTGAGCAATTGTCATTGTTCATTGAACCTGATTAAGCTGTTTAATGTTTCCTTTTCCCACCCCACCAGAATGAAAATAATAGTACAGTAACTTATCTGCCCCACAAGAGTATTATTAAGCTTAATTAACTAGTTTAAAGATTCTCTTATTAATGAGCTATAAGATAGCAGGGCAGTTTAGAGTTGTGATATTCACAAATGAATTATGTAGTCAGCATTTTTTGCTAAGAAGAATTGTGTAGTGATTTTGTTCATGTCTGTGAAAGACAGCTAGGGTTTTTAAGGCTCAAAATAGAGTGAAGAGTAGAGAAGGGATGTTACTAGATCATGCATGCATGCACAGCACAATAAATATGATTAGATCAGACCATCATAGCAATTGTGGCCACTTTCTTGTCTGTGGCACCCTTTGGGAATTTGGGATATCCATTGCTTATGAACTCTTCCTGTGCATTTATGACAACATCAAGGCCTGTCCAAATTCATCTAATATAGGAGAATACTTGCATCCACCGATAACTTTGACTTAGTAGCCAGTTACTAAGTTAACAGTGATTCTTGTTAAAATGGCAGAGAACTGTGCTCATGCTGTATCATAGAATCAGAATTGGAAGGGACCCTGAGAGTCTAGTCCAACTCCCTGTAATACAGGAATCTCAACTAAAGCATCCATGACAGGTAGATGGCCAGCCAACCTCTGTTTAAAAACCTCCAAGGAAGGATAGTTCCAAGAAAGACTGTTCCACTGTCGAACAGTCTTACTGGCAGAAAGTTCTTCCTGATGTTTAGTCGGAATCTCCTTTCTTGTAACTTTAATCCATTGGTTCAGGTCCTAGCCTCCAGAGCAGAAGAAAACAAGCTTGCTCCATCTTCCTTGTGACAGCTACTTGCGTTGTGTTAACTATAGGTCCTTGGCTATAGCTTGTGGTTTAGTAAGATAAGATCTAAAACACAAGGCCCAGTTTGGATGACATGCTAAGCCAAATCTTGGCTCAGCTCAGCATAGCACAGAAGTAAAAAAGATTGGGAAGGAGCAAAGTGGTTGCAAGCTCCTTTCTCCAGCAGCTCATGTAATAATTGTAATCCATGTAAGCATGGTTTGGCTTACCATGTCACGTGAACCAGGCCAGTGGGTTAAAAGAAAATGTGGGTTAAAATTGTAACAAAATGCTACATTAATCACAGAAAAAACAGTGTTGTCCCTCTTGAGTTAGTAAAAACATTTAAATAGCCCCAATAGCAATTAGGTGGTGCATTTCTGAACTAAGATACGAGTCTGTGCAACTTGTTATTTCATCATGTATCCTGTTATAGGTGGGAAATATATTCTTTGCTTTCTAGTTTTGTTTTTCTTCTACTATTCTAGCTGTTCCACAGCCAATTGCTATAGCCAGGGGGAGGCCCCGTAAAGTTGTAGGCTCGGTTTTCCGTATCCCTCCAGAGCTTGACATGTCACTACTCCTCGAGTTCATTGGGTAAGTAAAAGCAGACTTTTAGTAGATTGAGTTTTAACTTACAAGTAGTGTTTTAAAGACATGGACGTAAAAGGATATGTTGGCCTTGGCATTCAGTTGCAACATTAGCTTTTTTTTGTTTCAGTAATTAGATCGAGAGCTAATGGAAGACATTCAGATTAGCAATTCTATTTGTAGAACTCTTGGCTTACAAAAACCATCTCTCCTTTCCCAATGGCTGTAGATTCATCTTGAATTTCTGAACTGTTCTGAAAGGTTTTCTTATCTCTACAGATTGATTTAGTGAATAAAAGTTCAGTTCTTACAGAAACAGACTGCAATTTTCTATAGTAGGCACATGTAGAACCCTCATTATACCTTTTCTGATGAAGTGTACAGCATGTGTAAAGACAGTTCTATTTAATCAAACCGTGCCTGACCAAGCGTTCTGTAACTTGGGGTGCCTAACCTTCTTTGCCTGTTTTTAACCACTAGGTGGCAGTGACAACTGGCAAACACTGAAGTGATTATTGCTAAAAAACAAGCCAATGTGTTTCTGGACATGTGCAGTAATAGTTTTTCTCTAATTTAACATATCCATTTTGCATCCAACAAAGTTGCCAGGTCAATGGTAGAGGTTGGTTGTAGACTCAAACTTCTTGAGGGCGTCATGTTGGATACTGTCGTCTAAAAGAATGGTGATCTGTACTTTCCCCCCCCTTTTTAAAAGAGACACTTGTAATGTTTAGTATGAACTTAGTTTTAGCACTTATAAAAAGAAAAATCCAATAAGTCAAAAATCATTTTGAATACTATAGGTGGTTCTCCTTAAGTCCCTCCCCCATTTTATTCTTACAACAATCCTCTGAGGTAGGTTAGGCTGAGAGATGGTGACTGGCTCAGGGAGCATCTGTGCTGATCGTGGGTCTCAGTGGGCCTTAATCCAGCATCACCCTGGTTCAGAATTGCTGTTTGTAATGGTGTGTGTGCCAGTTAACAGTAGTTTAAATGAGCAACTTTTAATGTTGTGAACTGCCCTGAGATCTACGGATGAAGGGTTGTTTACAAATTTAATTACCAATAGTTGTTGTCATAGTAGTATATGTATATCTGTTACATGTTTTGTTTTGTTTTACATTTTGTCATTTTCTGGGAGCAATTTTGTTTATTACCTCTTCCATATCATTCAGTTTATATCTTGAAATGGTCCAGTCCTTCCTATGGTAGTAAAAGGGTATCAGAGACCCCAATCCTGGGAATGGAAAAACTGTGATATCTTCTGCCTTGGAAATAACATGGTTTTTCCATCTGTCTTTGTTAACCTTTTAGACATTCATGAAGATAAAGAGTTGACTTACAGTTTTTTGAAAGATAAAATTCTTGTCTGCAAGTGAATTTGTCTCCATGTATCTAAAGGAAAAGCAGTCAATCCTTTGAAATGCAATTTGACAGCTGATTGTGCATATGATTGTTCTGCTCAGCGCCCAATCTTGCACACAATATACCTTTTAGATTGATGTCTAAAGGTAGACTTAAATTACATGGTTAGTTCTACTAAAGTCAAGCTCACTGTTTTTTCTAATACAGAATTCTTCAAAATAAAGGTAATACAGTGGCTGTAATTCTATTTGTTTCTATGTCAGTATAAAGAAAGCTGTCATTGAAGCTTTTAAAAATATGCATGTATATTTTAAATACACTGGCCTAGTTCAATAGTTTCCAGTTTCTCCTGTGCCTACCAGGATCAAAGCAAGCCAGGATATTAAACTGCATATTTGTGCTTATGAAGCCGATATATGTTTGTCTGAACTGGGCCATTGTCTTCTTTTGAGACCAATTCTCAAAATGCGCTGATCTAAAATATATTTGAAATATGTGGTGAAATAATCTCAAACTTGAGGAATGGTGTTATTAGTATTCTAATTACACCAATATGCATTCTCAGCAGAGCAGCAGCAGCAAGTGTAAAGCAGTATCTAAATGCTGTACCAGACTGGATGAGGATTAACTATGGAGTTCAGATGAAATTGAAATGGTGGTGATTAAAGACCTGCTTGACTTAAGTGAGGTGACCTTGGCTCTTCCTGGTAGTGTCATCCACACTCTCTAAGCAGGCTTGGTAATTAGGGTTGTTGCTGAATCCAGTCTAAGGAACTTCTGTGATGATAGTTTTTTCTTATGGGTTGCATCTGATTCAGAAAATGTTTCCCCTTCCTTGAAGATAGGAAACTTACCCCTGTGGTGCATGCCTTAGGAACTACTTGAATCAACTACTACAGTTTTTCCTTCACTACTTTGAAGCCTGTCTAATTGCTACAACTTGTGGTGCTTTTAACAGGAGATTATGATAATGATGATAACTGGTAATATTCTAAGCTTCCAAGCATAATCCAAGGACCTGATGAGCATATAAATCACACACACATATATCACAGAAAAAATCTGTAACTAATGGCATTGTATTGATTTAGCATTTTTATCAGTTTGAGCCTGCAAATCCAGATGTAGCTCAGACATATTTATTATGTTAATTCTCTTTTTCTTTCAGAGCTAATGACCTGTCTGGGAAATTTAAGGTACAAATACTGCTGAAATTTATCTTCCTTTGGTTCATTGTTACGACATGCATAAGGAAAACTAAATGTTGCATTGAGAAAGCCAATAATTCTGTCCTGGAGTATATACTGCTTTTTTGCAAATCCGTAATTTATAAAGATAAAGGAATGTTGCAAAGGCAGGGATGTAATATTTTAGTTTGAGGGACCAGGCACACTGGACATTATGACTGCCTCTGAAGCATGGTGACCAGCCTGTAGCCTTTCAGGTGCTCCAGTCAAACAACATCTGAAGAGTTACAGGTTAGTCGCTCCTGTTTTAAAGAGTGAACAACTAGACTGTATTCTATAGAAATGGGCTAGTGATTAAACAATGCCCAGAACATCATGTTTTTAATTATGTCTGTGAGCTATCCGTGAAGGGTAGAAATTTGTAAAGAAATAAATAAAAATGGTACACATATGTATTTGAGAGCCAATGTGGTGTAGTGATTACCACCTCAAACTGAGACAATCCAGCTTCAAATTACCACTCAGCCATGAAGCTCACTGGGACCCATGAACCTATTGCTAGCTCTCAGCCTAGCCTAACTCACAGCATTGTGGTGCGGATAACATGGAACAGAGAGAACCATCTATGCCTCCTTTAGCTTATGGGAAGAAGAACTAAATATACAAGATACATGTGCAGTGAGATTGTGGGTGGAAGAGGAAAAATAGTGGAACTGTGGGTTGCAGCTGAACAACATCATCTTACTGCTGAAAAAAACTGTTTAAGGGGGAAATTTGTGAAAATGACTTACTGGTTTCATCTAATAATAATAATATGGGATAAAGTCCTTGTTAAAGAACCTGATTAGAATTGCCCCCTTCATTACTGAACAGCCTTACAGTATGAAATCTGTTTCCTCCTTCCAGCCACTGGAAAAGAAGTTTGTACGGGTTTCAGGAGAGGCAACAATTGGACATGTGGAGAAATTTCTCAGAAGAAAGATGGACCTTGATCCTGGCTGCCAGGTATGCTGTGCTAATTGTTTGCACCATATCGTTGGCTATGACACTCCTCTACTCTCTTGCTCACACTGAAAGTCTACTTCCTAGCAGCAAATATGCGAGTGAGGTTTTTACCGTTCATTTCACAAGGCATTATGTAACTTGGAAAAGCCACACTTGTTGCATCAAAGAATTTATGTAACACACACTGAGGCAATAGCAAGCAAGCACAGAAGAACAAACCAAAGAAGAAAAGTCAAATGTAAGAGGGCAAGCCAATGTGTTGGATTATAAGAGCTTTAAAGTTATTTCCACTCCTCCACATAGATTTTTTAATAGCACTTTGCCGTATTTCTCTCTGTGATGTTTTGAGGGGCAAAACAGAGTTTTCAGTGAAATGTTTGACAACATATATTTTTGTTTACCTTTTACATGTGCTGTTTGCTGTCTCTGATTTGCAGCTTTAGCACCATTTTTAAAAACAAAATTGCTTCCTTCTATGGCAATCTCATTTCAGGATCACATAGGCAACATGAAGGTGTCATGTTGCCATGTAGCCACTCAGATTTGGCCCTTCTCCCCTTCAGCATCCCCTCCCTCTAACATCCTGGTGGCAACAGCTATGCACTTGTGTGCCTTGAAAATCCTGCCTCCGTCTCAGTCCAGGGAACCTGAATGAGTAGTGAGATGGGACCACTGTCCTGAGCCCATCAAGCATATTGACACCATCTCCCCACCTTATAGTGTCATTCCAAAGCCAAATGAAGCCATAGCCTTCTAGAGTGTGAGAAAGGGATCCCCATCTACCACACCATAGCAACAAATGTGGCAAAGTCATAACCCTTTATTGAACAGCCTCCAAAATGGAGGTGATTCTGAAGAAGAAGTACACGTTTAGGGTTTCCAACAAGTCAGCCCACCAGGACTCTTGTACCTTGGGCCATTGCTTGAAATGTAGCTAAATATCAGCTGCAGTGTTCATGATGGCACTCTGTTCCATGGTAGGAACAAAGGATACAGCAGCCATGCCTGGAGCAAATAGGTTGATATTCTTACAGAGGAACAGCGAGGAGCAGCCTCATCACTGCTGTTGCTAATGAGGTGGAACTCTCTCTGTACAACCCCAGGCCTGCACCTTGTCTGTCTGAGTTATGGTCTCCCTGTCCAGGGTTTATATACTGGTAGTTCTGTGCTGTGATTGATCACACCATACCTTATGCTCTGTTGTGGTCTGGAAGGTCAATAGGATAGAAATTATGTGTCAACAGCTCTAGGTCTAGTCTAAAACTTCACCATAAATGGGGGGGTGGTCATGATATTTTAAGATTATAAGACAATGTAAGTACTAATGTTCTTCCCTTATGCCACTGATGACTCCGTCCATCTTCACTGGCAGAAAAATTGCACTGGTACATCTGTCATCGCGGTGGTGGCATATTTTTTGTTCTGAGAGTGTAGCATGGCTTCTGCCAAATTGTGCAGCTGTTCAGCAGGTACAACCTGATATTGAATTTCACATTTTATAAAATACAGGATTTAATGGCAATTATGTGCAAGGTGAAAAGGATTCAAGGATTATGTGTCCTTGTAGTTGCATTAATACACGTGATGCATTTGCACATCTAATTAAAAGAAAGGTTTCTGATTCTGCCTTTTAAAAACATTAATCTGCCCAAATGGTCTGATGTGTTAAGACTCCAGGGTGTGTTTTGTTGCTCTCTTATAATGAAAATGTACACTAAGTGAATTCATTGGGCACATTTGTAAAACCTACAGTACTGATTTTGTGATATGTTGTGATCTGTTTTCCAAAGATGGGATAGACATATTTTGTTCTCAGCTGTGTCTGCAAATGCCTTTGATTTTTCAGGTTTATTAGTTTCTGTTGATATACCTTCTGTTCATTTTCAAAGTGTGCCTAGATTAATTTGCAGATAGAAGATATGACAATGCATATTTAAACCCCATCCCATGCTAAAAGAGTAACTGCAAAGCTTCTATCTTCTGTCATTGTTACTGGAACATGCAACACTCTCTTTAAAAGCCTTGTATGCCACAGACTTCAGTTGAACATAAAAGTTGATGTTGCACTTGTTTCCTAGATATATTACTTGGAAGTAGGCCCCTAAGGATTCCCAGCTTAATTGTGGTTGAGTCCAGAGGAGTTCTTTGCTAGGACACGGCACTAGAGAGCCTTGATTTTCTCTCTTCCCATAGGCTGGCAGTTTGCTTATTATTGTTATTGATGCTTGAAAGTCCTGGTCTTGGTCACTGAGGGAATGATTAGTTTTATGCCTGTAGCAAAGAGCCATAATTGCAACATGATTTTTGAATGTTATCAGATGTTATTTAATTTTAACATGGTCAATCCGAAAGCAATATTTCTCCTTTTCATACTTGTTTGCTCACTAATTGCAATGAAGTATATCTGGAATGTCCAGCTTCAGTAACTACTTGTCAGAACATATTGTTGATGTTACTATTCTCATATCCCTCTTCAGTTTTGCTGTACTGCAGGAAGCCCCTACTCTGAAGGCCTGACACAGTCTGCCAAGTAGTTTCTTCTGTGTGCTGTCCTTCCAACCACACTGATTCTGGCAGTGGCAAAAGAAAAAAGGAGTTATGGTGCTGGGCTGGGAGAAGCACTTCACTGGAGGTTCAAATCACCCTGTCCCTGCTCATCAGACAAATTAGATGAGCAGGGAAGGAATGATTTACATCTGCACCAGAATACTAGGCTGGCAGGAGAAGTCTAACCCTCTCTTCCCAGCGCTACAGTGGAGATTCCAATCTTCTCCTCCCTTCTCATCTGCATAGATCGCTGAGGATGGGATTGGGGTTTTTTTTTGGGGGGGTGACCTGCCCCAAGTGGTTGGCCAAAGGTAATTGCAGCCATTGGCCCAAAAATGGTTGGCCACCCCTACTTTCCGGTGTAAATTTATGAGCCCCATTATTATTAGAGGTAGGGCCTTGGCTGCTATTGTGCCCTGGCTTTGGGATGTTCTCCCCAAGGCAGCTTGCCTGGTGCCAGCTTAGATGTTCTTTCAGCACCAGGTGAAGACCTTATGTGCTCATGCCTTTTAGACTATGTTTTTTTCTTTTTAGGCTTACATTCTGTAGTCCCAGCTGTCCTGGTTTTAAAGTTTTTATGACTGCTATTCTTTTAGACATCTGCTGAGGCACTCTAAAAGTCTTCGGACTGAAAAGTAAATTTCAATTTGCAATATTTTTTTTTAAAAAAAAGTTGAATAAACCACGTCTTTCCAACACTTTAGTTGCCATCTTGCCCCCTGGACTCACATATTCTTATTGAAATCAGCCTGTGAGCTGCTGTCTTCACTTGATAAGACTGTTGTAGTAATGTCTGAAAAATATCTGAAATAGTAAGTGCCTTGCCATCCTAATATCAGGACATCCAAAAGCTGCTTTCTGCCTGACTTTTGAGTGAGAATTAGTGTGGGGAGAGAGCGACAGTTATAAAGGAATTTGCTATTTCACTGCTTTAGATGTACTAATATAGCTTACAGAAGTGTTCCCTTGTCAGAGGAATCTCTCAGATGAAAGTGTTTATTGTAAATGAAGACGGGCTTTGGGAGATAATTAGAAGTAGCATGGGTTTGATGCATCTTCTGCTAGAAATCAGAGTGTGATTCGGCCCAATATAATATCTGGTGCACGGTAAAGGCACAATGAGAGCAATTTATAAACAAAGGGAGGATTGGGGTCAATAATTTGTATAAATAGGCCATGCAGTTTTTCAACTGGCTCCTTAGTAGCTGTGTTTACCACGTATATCTAAAGTTAATGCTCAGCTTCTGAAGCGGAACCAGTATCAGAACCCCCAAAACAAGAAGGAACAAATTGTTTGCAAGGCAGGGAGCCAAAGAAAAGCATCATGGTCTCAGGCGGACAAAAGTTCCGGCAAGGGCAGTTGGTTAGTAGGAGGTCAGCCTGACCGGATCTGCTTACAAGGAGACAAGTTGCTCAGACTGAAGAACAGGCCCTGAGGCTGAGACTTTATAGAGCCAGATAGAGTTGCATTCATCCCCCTAGTCATCTAATGCGGTACAGTGTCAGCTGGTGGAGCTTGTAATGCAACCGGGATGACACTTCGGGATAACATACTGTAAGTTAGTGTGCAACTCTTGCCAAAGATGCTGCTGGTCAGGAGGGCAAGGTGTTGGAGCCTGACAAAAACTCTTGACAGATCCAGTGCTTAATGCACAAGTTGCATCCCTTATGTCTCGTTTTCATCTATTTTTCCTTCCAATTCCAGGCATGCTTACTTGGGAGTAAGCTGCAGAAAACTTTGTGGAACTTCTGAGATACATATGTATTGGATTGGGGTGTCAGGGAAATAACTTGCATGCACCCAATCAAGGCATGTAATTCTTTAAAAACATCAGAAAAGTTTCTTTCCCTTGCTTAAACTATACTTTAGTGTGTCCATTAGGGGAATATTTACAGCAATATTTCCAGAAAGGGTCAAATCAGTTATATTCAATCAGTTATATTCATTGTTGCAACACTAGTGTAACACTGATTTGATTCCAAACTTAAAAGTCTAAAATAGATTTAGAACACTGCTGGCAGATGGGATTCCCACCCCCTTATCTGTAATATATTTCCTTACATCACAGGGATTAATGGATATAATCACAAATGCTACAGATGCTTCTTAAAAGGGTGGTTGAGAACAAATTGCTTCTTTTCTTTGTATTTCTATTCCCTTGAGTTTTACAGCTATCACCTGAATCCCACCCGAACAATTAAATTTGAAGCTTTAGGACTTAGCACTGAAGTAGCAGAATTAGGCATTTAATATTCCAAGCACTTTGAGGTAGAGGGGAAGCAGCTTTGCAATCATTTATTTAAAGCCACTGAAACATTTAATATCTGAAGTCTAGAACTGCAGCAGCGAAGGTCACATCAGGATATCTCTAGGCAGTCACTTTTGAATTATCTCAGGACTGTGAAGAATTGTTTTACAGCAATGGAATTCGTTAACATTTTGCTTCCAGTGTTAATAAACTGGAATAAGTTCCATCTGATCATAATTTGTGGCATTTAACGGTGTGGATACATAGAGTTGTATCTAGTGTTGTCTGTATGCGCAGAACAGGCTTCCACTTGTGCAGAGGGTTGGGCTCTGCAGAGCAGATTTTGAGGCCACTTGGGACTGCAATGAGAAGGAGAGAAAAGTGAGCACAGCCTCGGATTCTGCCCATAGGAAACAGGCAGGTGGTCTGAAATGCAAATGAAATGTGTGTGTTTGCACATTGGTGTTTCAATTAGATGCTAATTTGCCATTTTTTAATGTTTGTAATAAGTTAGGAAGATAAAGAGGGGGAAGTGGGGGAAACACATAGAAATAAATGCAGCTCTAATGTCCAATTTCTTATGGACTGGACTTAGGACATTTCACTTGATCATATTCTGTTTTGCCTTTCTTTTCTTACTAGCTCCCTCTTTCTGTTTTATCTAGCTCCAAGGTCCTTGCTGTTATCTCTAGTGTCATTAGATAAAGGGCGGTAATCCACTCTGACAAACAGGAGACAGGCTGTTCAAAAGATGTACCTGAAATGTCTGTTAGGATTTCTGCTTCCCTAGCCATCAGATGTTTTTCTGCTTCTCCCAAACGTGGCCAACTTTGTTGACTCCTCTAAAGATTCTTGAGATTTCTACTACTGTAAAAATGTTTGTACTAATTTAGCATGATAAAGGGGAAATATGTAGGAATAAATACTGAGCAAGCCGGGCAGATAATTTGGAAATGTATGCCTGATAGGTCTAAATATGATAAATTCTGCCCCTAGATGCTATTTTTGACCAAAACAGACTATCACAAATTTCAAGATTGTCCAGTAGCACCTTAGAGACCAACTAAGTTTGTTCTGGGTATAAGCTTTCTTCATGCATGCACACGAAAGCTTATACCCAGAACAAATTTAGTTGGTCTCTAAGGTGCTACTGGACAATATTTTATTTTTATTTATTTATTTTGACTGTGTCAGACCAACACGGCTACCTACCTGAATCTTAAATTTCAAGGTCTCCTCTCCACACCTGTAGAGTATTGCGTTATCGGAGAATACCAACACTGCTACATGCTCTTCAATACAAGACCAAGGAACTTCATTTCTGTTCAGATGGGAGGAGCACATGTCATAATTTCTACCCTTAAAAGAAAGTTAATTCCGTGGTGTCAAGCAAAGGAGTTATACCAGCAGACCTCTTCCTAAAAATCCTAATTATGAAACCTAGGAAGGTGAACATCCTCTAGCAGACGAAGTCAATACAATCCCCAGTGAAGGAAACAGAACTAACATTTCAAACAGTGAAGGTATATCTGACTCCCTATAGGTTTCCAGCATGTGTTCTGTTTTTGTTGAATGTGTTGTTGTTGTTTTTAAATCATCTGCTGACTTGGAGAAGTGGTTCTGAAAATATCCAGAAACATCTTGAGTATAATCTGCCTCCTGTTATTGAGAACAGATTAGTACCCACCATAGAATAGCACCAGAGATAAGTCAAAGATGCACAGCTCATTGTTAAGAACCCAGTCAGCCATTTTCACACTGAGGAAGTTTTTATCAAGGATTGATGGTGAAATTGTCAGTAAAAAAAAGTTTGTTTGTTTATTACATTAATATACTACCCTTGATCCACAGATCTTAGGGCAGTTCACAACATAAAAATACAAAATGAAAACACAAAATACATAATAAAACAAAAACAAAGCAACCTAAAGACAACTTGTCTGCTGCTGCCACTTGCTTCTTGCAAATCTTCTTGCAAACTCCTGAAACTGCAGGTGTTAAAATTGTACCCTAGAACACAACCCCAAATCCTCTGTAGTGCAAAAGTGTTTTGTAGGTAACAAAATCACAGCACATTGATCAACACAGAAACAATTCATTGACACTAGAAATACTGAACTCTACCGACTTAGATATTAAATATGGACATGATCATGACTTGTTGATCCTGTCTTTGTTTCAGTTGCATCACACTTGAGATTTCTGTTTGCTGATGGTGTGGATGACTTAAGCAATATCATGCAATAGTTGTATGCAATTCTTACATGAATGGACTGTGCACCTCTGTTTAGTTTTAAAGAATCATTCAGAGAGTTGCCAATGATCAGTATCTCTGGGACTTGTTAGTGTCAAATGAGATACAGATTGCAAATGGCATGTACACCGTGTCCACAGAGAACTGGCACCCAGGAGCTCCTGCGTTATTTAATTAAAATGATTCTTGGACACCTGCTCATGTTAATACAAGTTTAACCACACCTGTTCTGAAGGGATATTTGCTTTGAACATGGAATTTCTTGAGATATTTATTGACACATCCACTGAACAGTACAAAATGAAGTTAATATTTGAACAAAGTCCAAAGTCATTGGAATTAATAAGATAGGAAAAGGATATTTAAAGTAGTTAACAGAGAAGCAGTAAGTCTTACGAAGCTGGGACAGGGGGTGCTGTCTTCAAACAAACTCAATCTGTTTAGGAGTATGCTTTACATGTTTATAGCTGCTTGTTACTTTACAATGCTATTGCAGGCAATGGGTTCTTGATAGCAATAAAAACTTGTGTTTTGAAGAGATCTCTTGCCAAATCCTCAAATTGCTTTTTGAAATTGGGACTATAAAAGAGTAGTTTTGAGGTCCTGGGGAACATTTCTGGAGATGAAATAGATACATAAAATGTGTTCTCAAACAGCCATTGAATTAAAACTTTAAAGCCCCTAGCTTGTTGCAGCTAAAGAAAACACATTTTGATACTTTTTCCTATTTATTTCTAGGTAGACATAATATGTGGTGATCACCTGCTGGAACACTATCAGACTTTGAGGGAAATCCAGCGAGCTCTAGGGGAGAGTGCAGTGCAGGTAAGTTGATGCCACAGCTGCAAGAAATTACCTCTGGTACTTCTGCCTCAGCCTCCCATACACTCCTTGGGGATATAGCCAAGCACTGCATTTGCCGGGATAGCTTCTGAGTTGTGAACCTTTAAGGCAAAAGTGTGCATGAGTCTTTGTCCAGCAGTGGCAATGGCTGAAGTCGAGCTTCTGGCTTTTACCAACAGCAAGTTTGCCTGTGTGTATGGATGAGCACCTCCCTTTTGTATGGAAGACACTGCTCCCCACTGTTTTGGGGAGGAATGTTTCAGCAGCACTGTTGAGGCAGGACAAGAGTATTCAAGTATAGCAAAAAGGGGTGAAGAGAGACAGGTGTCAGGTGCACCAGTTAAACATCATAGCATGTGTTTCTCCTTCTCTTGCTTACCTGTGTGAGGTGTAGCTGTTGAAGTGGAATGGGGCTGGATGTACAGTATGTGTCCGGAGTAGCTGGCCAGGATAGCAAGCCTTCAGCCAAATCCTATAGCATCTTAGCCAACAGAACTTAAGTACAGGACTGCTTCTTAAGTCTAGCTGAGTCTTCATGTAGTGTTTAAATGGCTTCTACCGGCACATTACTTTAAAAAAATAAACAAATTTCAGGTATCTGAAGAAGTGTGCATGCACACGAAGCTTATACCCAGAATAAATTTAGTTGATATCTAAGGTGCTACTGGACAATATATATATTTTGACTGCATCAGACCAACATGACTACCTACCTGAATCTAAATTTCAGGCTGTTATGGTTTAGAGCGTTGTTGTTTTTAATGAAAGCAGTCTCTCCCAGTCTAAAGACATAAAAGGGTATATCATGGATCTCCTAGTAGTTTGAGGAAAAGGAAAATTCACCAACTCTGGTGAATGTGCTCTGATCTAGGCATCCTTGCATACTGCAGGCTAAGCATGTTCTTCTGCATTCACAGATCAACCCTGCTGAACAGGTGGTTGGCTCTGTCTGCTTTGTATGCACTAATCATTTGTTAGGACAGTGGTGGGTAGAGTGTGCATCTGGAATCAGAACTGACAATGCTGATCTTGTACTTTAGCATTCAAGAGTATTGTGCACATAGTGATAGCAGGTGCTGGGTGCAACCGCTGCCCATTGTAGGGCAGGATTATTTTGCATACTCTGGTCACATCTAGAACAGCAGTCATTGTAGAAGCCTCTTTCTACACACATATTGTCTTTGCTTGATCACAGCAGTAATGTAGAATTCTTACCACTTTTTAAAATCGTACAATATAAGGACAATTGAAAATAAAAAATAAGATACAGTTTATAATCTGGTGGCTCTTTTAATCAAATCTGAGGATAGCTTGCTGAATTACTGAATTAAAATAACCTGTTTTACAGGTTGAATTGTTCATTTCTCACTGCATAAGTGCTAACTTTGCATTCTAGACAAGGTGTCAGAATGAAGTGTAATCAGCAGAGAAAGGTGTCATACAGCAGTACATTTTTTATTTTATTTTTTGCTCATAGGTGATGTTTTGAGTGATGTTGTAGATCTTTTCTAGCCAGCACATCTCCAACATTTGAACACAGTATATGTCAGAAGAATTCACAATCACTGCATTGCCTTTCACACCTAATAGTAGCCTGTCAGGAAATTGTGGCAGACTTATGGCAAGGCTAAACCTATCATAAAGCACCATCTCTGTGTATCCAAACTTCCATGCTAGGGCTACATATAAAACTGTTGTGATTTGGCTAATTTCAATGGCTCAGTTCACACCAATTATGCAGGCAAATGGAGATTGCCAGTTGACTCCCTATGGCTTTTGTACAGACTTGCCAATAAGTATGGACCAACCCTATATATAACCCCCAAGCAGTGCCTGCTTTTTCATTTACTCCAGCAGTTTGTTTCAGGGAAATAGCCTTCTATAACACTTTGTCCTGGGATTGAAAGCTGAAGCTTGCTTATGGAGAATGACTCATAGTGTGTTTGTCGTCTTCAAAAAAAGCATGTACTGTACTGTACATACAAGGGGAATCTGCAGACGGTCAGGTTTCTCCAATACATTCATAGGTGTTCAGGATGATGCATCTGCCATTAACACTTGGCATTTTTCCTAAGCTAAACACTGGTTTTACTGCAGCAAACACTGCCTTGTAAAGTGCAAAGCAGCCCTCAAACTTACTGGAGGGAGGATTGGATCCTAAGGAGCCTCTGCAATAACTGTGGCTTGATGGAGAAGCTGAGTCAAAAGACAAAGTGGCTGCAATATGATGTGAAACAGTTCAACAATGGGTTGTGCATTCTGACTGTTAGCCTCTCTTTAAAAGGGATATTACAGTGTTCAGACACAGGCAAGCAACTGAATGACTTGTTCAGTTGTTTTCAAACCACCTCTAAATGGGACTGTACTCACAAAGAAATTACATGTGGGCTTCATACACAGCTATTGACTCGCTTGATCCTCTGTTCATTAAATAGCACACTGGGAGATCCTGCATTTTATTATTCACAATCAAGAGCAAATTTTCATTAGGTAGCATAAAGAGACTTAGGTGTGGCAAGGCTTTGTTTTTGCATTTGTTTTGACTTGTTTACAAGTGTGATTTTTCTTTCCTACTTTCTAGGATGGCTTACTTGTACTTCACTATGGGCTGATTCTTAGCAGAGATCCCACACTTTCAAGGATTTGTTAAAATCCAACATGGAGGGGCTTTGAAGAAACAAATGATCCTCATTCTGGGAAGTGCATGATGAACATTAATGCACAGTTTTCACTCTGCATAGTAAGTTAGAATCTGAAAAAGGAATGCTGTACAGCTATAAATACTGCAGTGCTGTTATGTCATTAACACCTAGCTAGTTCAGGGAAGAGCAAATGTGTCAAGATGACTGGATTTGTCTTAAATGCGGTTTGTGTATTGGCAGCACTCCCAGCTGACTCCCAGGACTTAAGCTTGAAACCAGTATTTATCTGAAAGACAGTTTCACTGGCGTTCTCAGGGATTATCTCCAGTGTGCAGTGTTTTATTGGAAAAGATGTGTTCTTCTCAGAGACGTTTATTGTACACTAATGAATGGTCTTGGTTTAGAAATAGGAAAGGGAAACCTTTCAGTTGTGTGCCTAAAATAGGGGGGATAATCACCTTTCAAAAAACCGCAAGCATTGTATCTCATGGTTTATGTGAGTAATAGCATTAAAATATGCAATATCCTATAAATTAGTTAAAATTGGAGAGAAATTGTGTGCATGTTAACTAGACACCAGAATACCTATGCTACTCACACAGTGTGGATGTGACAGTAGATTGCACAGGGCTGCCTTTGAGGTCCCTTTGGAAAGCATCATGCAACTGATTATATTCCTATTGAAGACAATGACCAGACTTTGTTCTATTAAAGTCTATCAGAAGGACGGCAGTAACCTTTCTCTATCCCCTGCTACTTTCCTTTAAGCCCACTTCTTCTTCTGGTTTGCAGTCACTACCATGTTTGCCTTTGTCCCTTGCAGCCTCTGCCATAGCTCCCCTTCTTGCAGATGTTCCACTATATTCTACTCCCTCCCCCAGCTTTTGTTTTGCCGCCTTTGTAGAAAATGACTATGTCTGTCCCCCTTCCATGCATATGAGCTTGAGACAACGCCCTGTGTTTCCCAGCCAGTAGTAGTAATGCCCTGTGAAGAATTTAAAAAGCTCTGGTTAAAGAACAACACGATGAAGGAGTTCATTTTTAACATTCCCTGTAACCTAGCCACAGCAATGGTCTTATTACAAAGATTTCATTAAACCTTGCTATACAATGCTTAGTCTTCAACTTTTGCAGACCCAGAATCCACAATTAACCCAAACATGCACCTGGGGATCCATTTCATAGTTTTCAACCAAAAATTTGTCTAGTATTGCTGCTGTTGTGACCTCCCTTAGACCAGGCTGTGATATAATAGTGCAAGTGTGAGAAACCTGTGGCCCTTTAGATGACTTAGACTCCCAACTCCCATCAGCCCCAGCCCGTGTGGCCAGTGGAGATGGATGGTGGGAATTGTAATCCAGCAACATCTGGAGGGCCACAAGTTCCCCACCCCTGTGATAGTGGTTCCCAAACCACCAGTTGAAGATCAATGGCTTAATCCATTATCACATAGGCAGCAAACAAAGTTTATGCAATTGGAAGGGTAGATGGAAGACACATTACTGATGCAACTCCCATGCCTCTATGGAAGGTGTCAGGTTTCTTTTGCTAATTCTTAATTCATTACCTGTGCACTTAAAGATTCTGTCCTATTGTGGAACTATTGTGGAACTGCTACTCCATAGTCTTAAAGAGGCTTAGATGTGCATTTATGGTGACCTGAAAAGCTAGTTTTTAGACCAAATGTGTGTTGAAGGGTTTTGCTTTTGAAAATGCCTTTATGAACTCAATTTTGTTACAATAAATTTTTGATGTAGGGATATTCATAAATATCTACCTGTTTTATATTCAAAATATCCAGTTTGCGTTCAGTATTTCTATAAACAACAGAATGGAACAAAAAATTATTTTTGTAAATATTTTTGTCTAATGTGTTAAGGGATGAAGTATTTAAAGTGTTAAAAAGTAGAAGCCTTCCAAAACTATATAAAAAAAAGAGGAAGTATAATAAACATGCTGGAAAAGCAAAACTAGCAGGTAAGTAAAAAAGAATTTGAGGCTCATATTGCTTAAAGAAGGAATTCAACAAAGCACTATGGCAATAGTTCTGTCAGCACAAACATTTCAGTTTGCCAGACGGAACAATCCCCCCTATCTTCCCCCTGCATGCTATTCTGGGGTTTCTCCCAACACTCCCCCTGAGCCAGCTGGAGGGGCAGTGGAAGAGGCAGAAAAGCCCTGTTTTGCTAGCTAGCCACTTGTGGGGGCCTCCATTAGTGTGACGTGTTAGTTGAATCCCACTCAAAACAATGAACAGAACACTGAAATACATTAGAGACAGGAAAATAGCCAGAGTGATATTTGGATCATTACATAGCAAAGATACAGTAAGACATGATTACTAAAGAAAGGTAGAGAAATTACCGTAATTCTATTATTTGCTTTGAACTTCAGTGTGGAAGATGGTGGGCAGGTGCTATGTCTGATTCCCCCACTGACCCCAAGAAGGGTATCTGAAAAACAAAGCTAAATAGAAGTGACGAAAACTGAAGTTGTAGAACTATCTACAAATCACTGGGTCCAATTGAATATTTTCTAACAAAAATATTAAATTTGTTTAAAATTCAGCTGACAGGAAGGTAACGAATGAAACATTGATTTGTAAAAGGGTTTAAGAGGAAAGGCCATTGCCTTAAATATATTAGAGCTATTATTATGCAACATAGAACATGCCTTGCTGAGAGAGAATCAACATGGCTTCTCCAAAAGGGCTTTAAATTGAACCTAGAAACAGCTGCTCTGGGCTTTAACATGAACCTGGAAACAAATGGGTAACCAGTGCATTTGTTTTCATCCTTCTGCCTCGCCTTCATTCTGGATGCTTCAAGTAATTGGGTCCCATAAAATGTCATAATTTCTAATGTGGCTATTGTGGTAAAGTGATTGGGGGGGGGAAGGTGAGTGGGGGCACTGATAGAGCTCCTTGCCAGAGATACAAGGGACCCTAGGTACACCTTTGTAAGTACCAGTGCTGCTAAAGCTTTACACCAGTATTTATTTATTTCTGGAAAATAAATAGTGAAACAATTCCCCCACCCAAATCAACAATGCAATGAATTTTTCTAGTGCTTTGCAACTGTTTCTATCTATTTGATACTGCTACCTCCAATGTGAGTATACCATACAGTGGTATAATCATTATGGCAGATGTAAGAGCCTTTGTAGCATGTTAATAGCCCCTGCTAAGTTTTGGGTTTGTTTATCACTGATATAGTAGTTCTTCCTGTTTTATGATCTGTGTTTTTAATTGTGGTTTTAATTAACTGTTATATCCTGACCTGGGGTTGCTTTGTAATGAAGGGCAGGTTAAAAATATTTTAAAATAAATAAATTGGTAACACCTGGATTCCTACTCTCTTTTATTGTAGAATGAAACTTCATTAATATATATGGTCAAGAAACCAAAGTTCCCTTTCACATTTCTTTCAAGACCAAATTGTAATGCATGAGGCCCTCAGGCTTGAGGACAGCTGAGCATACCCTGTGTCAGACTGTTTTAAGGCTGGTTGTCTGGTGGCAGAGAGGCAGGATCACATGTTTTTGTCCAGCAATCAATTGTCCATGTTAAGGGGAGGCTGCAGATGTGAGAGTCTTTTTATACAGTGGTACCTCAGGTTAAGTACTTAATTCGTTTTGGAGGTCCGTTCTTAACCTGAAACTGTTCTGAACCTGAAGCACCACTTCAGCTAATGGGGCCTCCTGCTGCTGCCGCGCCGCCGAAGCACAATTTCTGTTCTCATCCTGAAGCAAAGTTCTTAACCTGAGGTAATATTTCTGGGTTAGCAGAGTCTGTAACCTGAAGCGTATGTAACCTGAGGTACCACTGTATTTGCTCTTCAATGTCACTTGATTTCTCGGCCCAGGAAAATTATGAGGTGGTGTGAGAATGCCCTACCTATAATTACCCTAGACTGTAATCTTAAAGCTCTTTTGTCTATGTATGCATATGCAATTTCCAGAAATACTTTGCAAGTGAACTGTACCAGATTTACTCTACAATGTGTACAGGGTCTTCTTGGGTTTGGGATGTCTGGCTATTCTGTGTAACCTTGAAGCCAAGCATTGTCAATTCTTGATTTATTTGAGCAAAACTGTTAAGGAGCATTCACACACAGGAAAAAGTAACTTGCCTTGAGACTTTGTGCCCAATGAGAGCACAACCCAATGTGTGCAGTTTTTGTTAACCATTAGCTCAAGCTCCTGAAAATAATGGGAGCCTTGGCCAACAAAAATAAAGGCTTTAAGGGAAGTACAAACCGCTGTACTAGGAATGTGTCCCTTTCTAGAGTGTTGCTCCCAAAAGGAACACTTTGTTCCGCAGAATCTGTGGCTGAAGCCTCAAAGTAAACTGTAGTTACCAAGTAAATAAATCTCTTGGCACCCAACTAAGCTTTTACATTCTAGGAAAATGAATATTAACATCCTTGCTTGTGGCAGCGTGCCTCTGATACAGCCTTGACCCATGCTAGGAAAGATTAAGTCAGAAGACTTTTCAGCATCTGCTAGCTAGACAACAGTGGTGCCAGGACTCTGGGCAGACGTCCAGGACCCCACTTGGCAAAATGAACAAGAGGGCTGGCTTACCACATGTTGAAGTAAAAGCCCATTAAGGACAGAGTCTAAAATTACCTAACCACCACTGTTCAACAAGTGCTGCCTTTTGCAAAACACAGGCCCAATTCTTCAGAATACGATTGATCAAACCGTTTTAATTTGTGTCATTTGGGTAATAAGCTAATTATTTTGCATATCTATGGGGGTTGGGAAATTGGCTATGTCTTTCCTGCTATCAGGATCTCTTCCTTTATATTCCCATTGATTCTAGTGAGTTTGTGAAGACTGCCTGCTACTCCTATCATCTTCCTAAACCTTTTGTCAGCTGCACTTCCCAGACATACCAAGATGATGATGATGATGATGATATTTTGCCTCCTGCACATTTTCCTTGAAGTGTTAACACCTTACCCTACAACACAACATTTTAGCACCTCTGCTTAGGTATTGTGTTCTGACACATCTTCTGTCGGCTAGAATTTATGTCCATGTACAGTAAATACTTTTTAATTGATGTATTAGATTAATTTAGGGGCCCCCAACTTTTGTTGGGCCAAGGAACACATCTGTAAATCTAAGAAACTTGTGGACACCACAAAATCCTGCTTTCACAGAAGAGAAACTGACACTGCTCAGAACTCCCACTCCAAAACCAGGCAAATCACACAAACACACCAGTCAAAACACAAAAAGCAGGCAACAACAACCCCCTCCCCAAAGGCAAACCCCCTCAACCAAACAGCTGCCACAAATACACCAATACAATTCATTTAAAAAATTGACCAGGGGACTGGTGGACAGCAAGGGCAGTGCCATCATGGGACCCCAGATCTAATAGTTTGTTATATAGTGTAGGTCTTTGTTTATGGAATATTTTAGGTGAACTGGATTACGGTAATTCATTGTTCTAGTTGTAATTTGAAGCTGGTTTGAATCAGTTGTTGCTGAGCTGGTGAGACGATATGAAAATCTAGCTCAACCCAATGTGTGTACAATTTCAAAATCATCAAGACATACCACTGGTGCAGGAAGTATGGTCTACGTGTAATTGGTTAGTTTGTCCTTTGATCGTAAATTATTACAAAGAACACAGGTGCAGTATATTTTGGCATTTGATTATTTTGGTGAACAGGCATTTTTCCTTCAAATTTGAATAACACACTAAGTGGAAAAGAAGTGTATATTTAGGCTGCTTAAGTGTGATTTGAGTTAACTTGGGTTCAAAGAATGGCTCCAAAATTCACTCTGAGTGAAATTGCATGGGACTATGAACATTCAGACTGTTGTAAACTAGATGTAGAACATCACTTTTCTTCTGATCCCTGTTGTCCTCTGAAGTGTTATTGCCTTCTATTACACTTTCATAGTAACTGCTTTGAACTAATTTCTTTAGACTATATTGTATACAGGAAAAGAGAGCAGAGAAAAATCAATCAGAATTGAGAAATGGAAAGAAAGGAATTACAAGTCCAAACTAATATTGAAGTGTACAAGTTAAGAAAGGAGGAAATCATCTTTTATCATAAAAAGAAGATATGTATTTAGATATTAAACTCAGGTTTCCTTCAAATGTTCCTATGTATTATAACCATGTATTATTGCATCTTATAATTGCTGTGTATCATAGTGCCTGCCTGACAGCTGTAGTTCTGAGAATCAGTAGATTCTAAGAACATAGTAATAAAGGCAGTGTCTGTCCCAAGACAGACTCGCTACAGATACCAGCTCCTTCAAACCCAGCACCAAGAATATGATGCTTCTCCAAGCTTCATTTTTCACCATATAACATAGGCAGTTCCAAACTCACTTAAAACAGTTTTTGATTGCAGCTCTATGACTTCCAGAAATGCTCAGTACTTCACATGTTGCTTGAACGCATGAAATGACTCATTGTTCAGCTTGATGAATTTCCCATTACCGGTAATTAGTGGGTCTCATCTTGAATAGCTTCGGGGAGATGACAATGACCCTATAATATTTGCTTTGTGATTACTTTTCTTGGTTTCCATAGGAAAGGAAGTGTAAGTATGTAGTTTTTTACAGCAGATCGTGACTTTATAAAGAAAGCTCTTGTTAATGGCTTCAATACCCTTTCTTAAGGGCTTAAACTACCCCTCTTTGTTCCAAAACAAGAACACTCTTACAAAGCATTGCTTGCACAATGGTAAGCCATGCCACTTTCTCAACCTCTTTGCCGCGGCACAGCTAGACTGTCATCAGCAGGCACGCACCAATCAAATTGGATCCTTGCTGTATACATAGTGAGCATTTATTTTTGATACACACACAGAGTAAATGTCGCCATGTTTGCTCATAAGGAAAATTCCAAAGATCATATTAAGCCAACCCAAATGTCATGAAATAGCATGCAGGTTCTGGGAGACTTCAAAGCTTACATGCCACTTTGATCACCTTAATAAAAGTGTTGCTCTGATATAGACTTTGGAATTTATTCTTATATTTGCCATTAAAAATGCACACAGAGTTACAGGCAAGGCCAAATTATCCATGGTGCAACTGAAGCAATTTCACCAGGGCCCATGTCAGCAAAGGACCCCAGAGCCTGAGCTTTCATTAAAAAATTAATGAAAGTAAGTGTCTAGCGCTCCCAGAAAATTTTATGAATCAAAATGTGCAGGGTACCAACCTGACTGGAGATAAGATTTCCCTGAAGCTGCGGACACAGCTTGGTTGAGGTGACCAGCTAATTAAGAACAATCCAGCTGGATCAGACCAAAGTCCTATCAAGTGCAGCATCCTGCTCTCAGTGTGACCAACCAGATGCCTACAGGAAGTACGCAAGGAGGACATGAACAGAACAGCTCTCTCCCAGCAACTGGTATTCAGAGGCCTGGTGCCCCCAATTCTTGAGACAGTACACCGTCATCCTGGCTAATAGTCAAATCCTCCATGAAAAGTGGATTCTATTACAACAGCTTGCGGGAGTGAATGCCATCATTTTAGCTATGTGCTGTGTGAAGGAGCACTTTCTTTTGTATGTCCTGAATCTTCCAACACTCAACTTCTTTAGATGACACCAGGTTTTAGCATGATGTGAGGGAGGGGGGGGAAAAACCCTTATCCAGGCATGGCCAAACTTGGCCCTCCAGCTATTTTGGGAGTACAGCTCCCATCATCCCTAGCTAACAGAACCAGAGGTCAGGGATGATGGGAATTGTAGTCCCAAAACAGCTGGAGGGCCAAGTTTGGCCATGCCTCCTCTTATCCTTTCCCACACCTGCATAATAGTATAGACCTCCATCATATATTCTCTTTACTAGGTTTTGTTTTTCTAAACTGAAAAGCTCCAAATGTTGTAACATTTCCTCATAAGGGAGTTATTTATTGGGCAAGGCGTTGGACCAGCTTGTTCCGATTGTTCTATGAAGAAGTTCTCAGATGTGGGATAAAAAAAGGCAGGGAAATTAAACTATGCTTTCAGACAGGAGTTGCTTAGAGAAGCGCAAGGTCCTTGCTAGGGTAAATGTTGCATGATATCTATTCCTTTGGGCTGTTCCGTCATTGTGTCAGAATCAATGTCATCCACTGAAGATTGTATTAGCTGATGAGATGCATTTGCTCTGTGGTACCCACATTCATGGAACTTGCGAGACATTTGCAGTGAGCAACCCAGCACTTACTAGAGCCAGTCTTTCCTTTCTTGTTGGGCAATAACGGTCCAGTTTAAGAAGATCTTACTGGGAAGGGATGTTAAAAACTGACCAAAGCTGTAGGAATAATGAGAATGAACCAATGCTTATTAGTCCCTTTTTGGTGGCCCTCCACAACATT